CTTCCGGCTACCTTTGCGGTCAGCAGCGGCCACGAGCGAGTTGTCGTGCCGTTGCTTCTTATTTTTCTTTTTGGCAGAAACGGTTGGAAGCGCCTTCACCGGCGTCCTCGTCCCACCTCATCTTTCCGTCGGAGCGATCAAAGACGGCTCCGACCGCCTCCTCTCCAGAGGCGTGACTAGTAGCGATGTCCAGGAGTTCCTTGGTAGTCTACGGCCCCCTGCGTCCTAGCTTGTGGACCAGGGACTCACAGGTTGTTCCGGACAGAAAGGCTCCTATCACGTCGGCATTGGCGACGTTAGGGAGCTCGTTGCACTGCCGAGAGAAGCGCCGAATGTACCCACGAAGGGTTTCATCGGCCCTCTGGCGGCAGTTCTTGAGGTCCCATGGGTTTCCAGGGCGTTTGTACGTGCCCTAGAAGTTGCCCACGAAGATCTCCGCCCAACTCTGAATAGCATTGGATGGTAGGTGCTCCAACCATGCTTGTGCCAAATCGGCCAAGAACAGCGGGAGATTGCGAATAATGAAATTGTCATCACTCGCCCCACCGGCCTGACATGCAAGCCGATAGTCTTCGAGCCAAAGCCCGGGATTTGTTTCGCCAGAATATTTAGGGATGTTGGTTGGCGGTCGATACCTTAGGGGGAACGCGGCGTTGAGGATGTGCCGTCCGAAGGCCTAAGGACCTGGCAGGCCAGGGCTCGGGCTTTGGTCTTCGTTGCTGTCGTAGTGTCCGCCACATCGAGGATGGTAGCCACGGCGTGCTGCTTCTCCGTCGTTGCCATGGGCGCGCTTCCGAGCGTCGATGATGTTGCGTACGTCGCGGCCATGGCCGAGGCGTTGATGTACTGGGATGGCGGAGGGCTGCCTGTCGGCTGGTGGGGTTTGGTGAATGGTCGCGTCCCTGGTGGGACGTACTGAGAGCGAGCGCTGGCTGGTGTCGGGTTCGCGTCGTCGAGACAACAAACTTTCCGCCTGCTGCGCCGCCGCGCGCTCAAGCAACGTGCGAATCTCCCTGTGGGCCCGGCGATCTTCGGCCGTCGCGGCCTCCGGGAGGCCATGCAGTAAGGCGGTTGCTGCGGCGATGTTCTGGCTAGCTCTAGCGAAGTGAGGAAGGGTCCCATCGTCGGTGAGGATCCTTTGGTGTACGGTACGGGCCATGGCGCGCGTGTGCCCCCCGTCTTTGCGGCGTTCAATCTCGCGATTGATGTCCGCGTACTCTCGGATGAGCCCTTGCCCGGCCTCATCGATCTCCTGCTGACAGGCCTTCAGCTGCTCCATCTCCTCCTCGGATCTATTGTTAGGGTTGTTTGTAGGTGTGACCTCTTCCCTGGAGGCGCTTTCGACCTGACCCTCGGGGGTCTGCGTCATGAAGCATTCCCGGGAAGGGTGGTGGCTCCCCCTACTAGAATCCGAGCTGGAGAATGATCCTAGCTCCTCGTTGAGGAGCCCATAGAGGGTCTCCATATCATGCTCGATCGCCCCCATGAACTCGATGTCCGTGGGTGACTGAACCATTCGTGGCGCCAGAAGGTGGCCAGCGGTCGCCGCAGCGTTGTGGAGACCAAACGAAAACACTGTCGGGGCGCTCCGTACGGGACCTTCTGGACACAGGGTGACATTGTGCGAGACCTCACTTGATGACTGGGGTCCAAGGGAGTTGCCCGGCGGGCCCTCAAGCCTAAGATGGCTGAGGTTGATGGAAGGGAGAGACGGGGCAGCTGTGTGAGTTAGCGCTAGCTCTCCTCCTAGTGTGATGACGAAATCTAGGCCGCTGAAACACACGTGTGCGCCCGGGGCCCAGATGATTGCGTGGGTGGCCATCCGAGGCCTGATTTGGAACGCGCAAAGGCCCCTACCTGGCGCGCCAACTGTCGGTGTTTCGTACAAGCACCGACAAGTAATTTTATAGTAATGCGCGTTAGGCTCGGATGGTTTGCTAAAGGACACAAGATTTATACTGGTTCGGGCCAAAAGTCCCTACGTCCAGTTTGTTGCTGCTCGTGTTATTAGCACCGTGAACGGTTTGTAGTAAGGGGTACAAACGATCGAGAGAGGGACTGGTCCCAAGTCTCAGATGGAGGGGTTGAAGGGATGTCAAGAGGTTCGAGACAACTTGACTGTGTGTATCTGTGTGTCGTATTGTTCGGTCTCCAGAGTCCTCCTCCCTGATGGAGGAAGCGCATCCCCTTTTATAGAGGAAGGGGGCGCTTTTACAAGGGCGAGTTTTTAGGATGTATATGCTACTTAGTCTTGTGGCTCACATCTACCTGACTTCGTTCTTCATTTTGATGAGTACGAAGGAAGATAAGCGCCTACAATACTGTTGATGTTTTTGTAGAGTGTTAGGTTGATTATAGAATGCTACCCTGCGCAGGATGTGGGCTATAGTACAGTGGTTTTGACTTATCGGCCTATCCCAGCCTTGCTTCGCACGCCTTCTGGTTCCTGTGAGTCTTTGTCAGAGGGACGAGGGGTCAGAGTCCGGAGCGATGACATGGTCAAGGCCTTCTAACTTGGTGGACCTGAGGGGTCGAGAAGCGGGTGCCGCTCCCTCGGGTCCATAGCGTGGTGATGGAAAGTCCGTCGTGCGTGGAGATATTAATTCCTTTTCTGGAGCGTAGCGATTGTTGTATATCTTCGTCGGGTTCCGTGTCCTGTGGCTGGCTGGCGCGCCTACAACTCTCTACTGAGGCGAGGAGCACGACTGCACAACCTTTCGAGCTCTGCGGGCGCCTGGAAGGGTCTAAAGCACTGTCTCCGCCATCCCCTGGCAAGATTTTTTCTTGCCGTATGCGCAGGTATGGTCCTTGGAGCCATGGTTGACCCAAATGTCTTGTCTTGCCTTGTACTTATCATCTTGAGGGAATGGAGAGAAGTTGTCAGGTAAGATGAATCCAATCTTTAGATATGTAGCAGGGTGAGACTCGTTTGTTGCCGTCGGGCGAAACGGAGACCAATTCCTGTCTCCCGGGTGAGACCGACCTCGCCCCTCCGGGGTTGGGCGAGGCGGATTCTATCCCTCAGCCCTCGGGCGAGACCGAGCTTGCCCTAAAGGCGTCGGGTGAGACGGAGTTCATCCCTCGGCCCTCGGGCGAGACCGAGCCCGCCCCAAAGGCGTCGGGCGAGACGGAGATTAACCCTGAGCCCTTGGGTGAGGTAGAGTTATCCCACAAAGGCATCGAGCGAGATGGAACCGAACTCCTGTCGCTCGAACAAGGGATGAAACGGCGCCCTTATGCGTCCAGAAGTTTTTCACGTTCGGTGGTTATTGGTTCCACCTTCTGGGGTACCCTGGTATTAGGTCCCCGACAAAGGGCCTATCAAGTTCAAGGCCAGGCAGCTGCCCCAGGGCGTTTAGCTGTAGTTGTGGCCATTGGAAGGTCTACAGCCTGCATACCTTCTTTCCAATTAGATCTTGGAAATAGTCCTACAGGACCCGTTGTTTGTCATCGTGAGCCCACACCAAGGATCTGTCCTGTTTTTTGAGTGATGATATGTACTGTCTTCTCTTCCTGGCTACCATCTTCAGGTGGAAAAATCTTGTACATGCGTCTCCTGTCTTGATAAAGTTTATTCTAGAAGCCTGTCTTCTCCTACTCCTCTCAATCGCCGCTAGGCCCAAAATCCTGATTTTTAGGTCCTGTCGTAGAGAGCTCTCTTCTTCTGATAGCCGTCTGCTTTCTTGGGCAACATCCAACCTGAAGATGACCTCGTTTGCAATGTACAGCTGAAGGCGTGCATTACTAAAAAGCACTTTGCTCCAGCTTCGTAGCGCCCGCACTGTCTCTGCTAGCTTCCTGCTCAGTACAGTCTGCGCTGAGCCCGCTTGTGGTTTGCTCTAGGCATTCATGACTACATCTCGGAACCCATCCACCTTCAGCTAATGGTTTTCAAATTTGAACACTGCTTTCCTGACCACTCGATCCTGACGAGTGAGAAGTAATGGACAGTGGTCTGAGGCTCCTATTGCTAGAGCATTTGAGGCGAAATTTGGAAAAGCCTCCTCCCACCCAGGATTGCAAAACACCCTGTCTAAACGCACCAAGGTAGGGTTCTCCCTTTCATTTGACCATGTGTACTTCCTATTCTGCAGTGCAATCTCCATGAGTTCACATTCATCTAATGCTCTTCGAAACTTTCCCATCAGTCTTCTGTTGAGGTTCAGATTGTTTTTGTCACTGGCTTGATAGATGAGGTTAAAATCTCCTAGGATGATCCATGGCACTCCAGCAGCTGGCTTGATGGCATTTAGTTCAGCAAGGAAATCCTCTTTCCTGCCATCATCAGCTGGGCCATAACATGTAGTCATTAGAAACTAGGTATCAGAGGAGGCAACTTTGATCATAGCTGAGATGGTGAAAACTCTGTTCACTGCATTTGTCATTGAGATCATATCCTTGTTCCATGCCAGTAGTATGCCACCTCTAGTCCCCTGGGCCCCCAGCTCGAGGTAGGAGTCTAGATACTGCCCAAAGGTCTCCATGGCAAGGGTATTGTTGAAACTGCTGAGTTTGGTTTCTTGCAAACACACTATCATCAGCCGCGAGTAGTTAACAGTCTCTCTGACAAGCTCTCGGTGAGCAGCATCATTTAGGCCTCTTGCATTCCACGTCAATATAGTAAGGTCACTGCTATCCATAAACAAACAAGGAGGCTACTGGGATTAGTTCTTGAAGGCCAACACAAGTGACAGACAATGACACACACATACTTCCCTGGCCCCATTCCTCTAACATTTCAAGTTCGCCAGCCACATTCCAGTTCTGACCACGACCCAACCTCAAGTTCTGACCACAACCCAGCCTCAAGACACTGCGAACAGACCATAGCTCTCTCCCAATCAGGACACCAACATAGGGCTACTCCCTTAACAGACTGACCCGATAAAAAGTAGGACATCATCCTTACTGACACAGCTCTACAGTGCCCCCTTACACATAACACTCTACTGATTAACATAACAGAGTCTTGCCTTGCATAGGCTCTAGAGCATACCCCTTCAGGCTCCACCATCCTCCATGGCCTCAGCTCCCTCAACTGCTGCCAACTGTGCTGCTACTGTAATCACCGGCCCGCTGTCCAGTGAAGTAAGCTTCCGCACTGCTGCAATCTGTTCTGGGGATAGCGGTGTAGCAAAGCGCTTGGCAAAGGCCGCCAGCGCCTCATCTCCAATCGGCTCATTCGGCCCCACTGTCTCAAATGCCTTGATCAGTCTGTGAGTTGCACGTTTGTGTACCGGCATAGAGCAGCCTTTTGCCAGCTACCTGGTGCTCCTCCTCAGGCCCCCCACTGCAGTCTTCAGCACCTTCATTCGGTCAGCAGCCTTGCTCTTCTACTTTGGTGTAGCCGGCGTCTCTAGGACAAGCTGCTCACAGGGGACAAATATGCTCTTGACAATGGCATTCCTGCGCTCCTCCAGTATGAGCTCCGCAACCTTCTCGATGATGCCAGTGGTGATCACCTGGCCCTCAATCTCTTACTGCACCCTAGGTCCGAAGTGGATCACATTACCATATCCCAGGGTAGCCGCCTCCTTGTTTAGCTCCACAAGCTTGTCCCAGTTGGCTCTACAGTTGGCCACATACACCGGAGATCGCTGCTCCTCCATCGATGGGCTTCTAGGCAGGGAGAAAGATAGCGACCTGGTCATCGCAGCCTCACACGCCGCCAGCGCCTCCTCGATCATCGGGTCGTAGTCACCAAGGGGGCGGGTGAGAGCAGACCAGACGTCACCAGTGCACGTCTCCTTATAGAAGTCCAGCATTGGGTCCGGGTGCCTTGGTGGTGGGGGGCGCTCCTACCGCCCTGGGAAGTGTCCTTGAGAGCAGGGCAGAGCCGAGGTCCCCCTTTCCGAAGTCCATCTCCACATCAGCCACCATGGTCACCTCTCCGTGCTGTGCCTTGGCCACAGGGGAGCATGATCTGCGGCGCTCCCAGTCGGCATCCTCGCGCCGCAGCGGATCACGCATGCGCGAGGAGTTGTGGCCGTCACGCACCAGCTGCCTGCCGTGACCGCCTCCGTCTGACGCCTCATCACCCACATCAGCATTCCATTGCCTGGCCGGTGGTGGGGAGCGAGTGCGCTGTCTGCTCCCACCCCCATTGCTGGTGGAGTCTCTAGTGCGGCGCAGCAGGTTGAGTGCCTGCTTGCCCTGGTCAAGGAAGCCCCGAGAGTGATGCCGCTGGCCATTACCATCTTCGTTGTTGTTGTCATGTCCTCTGGTAGGTGCGCCCTTAGGAGGGGGTGGCAAGCATCAGCCCTTGGCCTCACGCGGAGGCCGTCCAACACGCCAGGTGTCCAGTCATCAAAGTTGTAGATCCTGGGGTACTCATCTGACTTAGAAGAGATAGAGGAGGGAGCCCCACTCTTCCCCGAGCTAGGGGTGCGGGTCCTAGGGGGGCTCCAGTCCTCCACCAAGTCGAGGTGGATGAGCAGGTTGTGGCTCATGCCACATGGAGGTGGAGCCACCTCCCTGGGCAACGCCCCTCTCCCAGCCACCGGCGGCGCCTGGCCCACACCGTGCTCGAAGAAAGTCACCATCTTGGCGCGCGATAGCAGGTCTGGGAACCACATCTAGGCCCAACAGTAGAGCATGTCCGAATCCTGCTGGTGAAATGTGGCGCGGTCAATCTTGTCAGAGATGCAAACCTCGCCCAGCATCTCCCCGAGGGCTGCAAGATTCTAAGCGTGCCTAAGCAGGCTCTCGATGGCCATCCTGATGTGGTACCACCAGGTGACCTCCCTGCCATGAGCATGCTCATGCCATGGAATGACACTGAAGAGAATGCCATTCACTGCACAGCACCAACCCAGAGTGCCAGGGTCCTCTGATGAGGCTCCTCAAAAACGATCATGAAGTCCTCTAGGCGGTGGCGCGTCTGTGCATCTCGTTCGGCGGCATGCAAACGCAGCCGGCCATGACTCTACTCACGTCACCAATGGTGATGTCGACATGTGGCAGCCTAGCCCGTGCCACTAGGAGCACAGCCTTGGTGCGGAGCCTAGTGGCCTCCGCCATCATGTCCAGCGAGGTAATCACTGCCGCACTGCCCGAAGCAGGGCCGTTCTCCGGCATCCCCGGGTACCAGGCCATCAGCTCCTCCTTCGCCGGGGTCGTCGGCTCCTTGGCAGCTTCCTATTTGCTTCCCTTCACTGCCTCCCGCTCGTTTTCCCCCTACGTCAGCGGAGGGAAGACCAGACGGCTCTGGATGCTAGGCGCTACTTGCTTAGGGAAGAAAAGGCGGGAATGGATGGAGGATCTAGGGGGCTTTAGTCTGGATCGGATCAGGTGGCGATGGAAACCCGCCCGCTTTTCAGGGCAGTGATGGGCAAGGTGGCCGCTGCGGCGACAAGCCAGAGATCAGAGAGGGTCTCGACAATCTGCAAGTTTATGGTCCTGCCCAAGGCATTGGAAGCACCTGCCGCGTGAAGGAGGTTTTATAGCCCGCCGGCAGGCCGGACTTCACTGTCACGAGTAGTGGCCTCCATTGGGGCTTCACTCTGCTATGCAATCGGCTCTACTGGGCATTAACACGAGCAGGTGGTGGGTGCGAGCGCACAGCATCGCAGTAACTCCGTTTCCCCCTCGGCGCACCCCGAATTGGATCGTTCGTCGCCTCGGGACGGTGAAGCTCAGACGCAACAACACAAGTTTGTGAAAGTTTCTTGATTACCTCGCACTTGTCGTGGCCATCCATGCCCGCCTCCATCGCCGGCGCAGCAGCAGAGGGGTTAATGTGACTGGCACCGCCGCAACGCAGCGCGTTGCCTACGGTGTCCAACCAGGCTCCCTCCGCGCGCGCTAGCTGTGCCCTCTGGTCCGAGGCACGCATCGATGTTGAGGCGCTAGCCGGCTGAGGGCCATTGATGATGTGGCCCGCAGCGTCGCACCCCGTTCCAACAGAGTTCGGGGCAGGGCCATGAAGATTGCTAAATTCAGCGCACTCTCCACCCCCTCCCGATCCACCAGCAGCCATAGCCTGCTGGCTAGTGAGGTAGCCTTGCCGCATGGATGATTTCGGCGCCTCCAGGGAGGCCGGATGGGCTGCTTGAAGAGTGCCCATTGGGACTGGGTGGTCAGCCGCAGCAGTGCCACCAGCGCCGGCCAAGTCGAGGCGGGCGGTGGTAGTAACTGCGCCTGCACCTCCTGCATCTCCTCTCAGCCCTTCTGTATCGCCGCGTAGCTCCCCAGCAACCGAGATTTGCCGCGCGCACGTCTGTATAGCTTCTGAGCCCGCCGGATCTGGATCTTGGACCTTGCCCGTTGACAGCTTGCCAAAGGCGCCATCCTCGTCTTCATTGGATCCCCAGTCGAGGAGCTCCGGATCTGCATCTTGTCCCGTACCTACCCCTGCTGGCAGCGTCTTGGGAGCCAGCGGGATGGGAGCCAGTGGGATGGGACCTTCCTCCTCCGGTCTGCGGTCGTGGCCGCCAGCGGCGTGGGCGCCCGCTGGTCGGAGCGCGTCTCCCTCAGGCACCCTCATCCCCCACGAATAGTATTTCGGAAGTTGAGCAAGTCAAAATATGGGCAAGCTTAAAAAAATTGTTATCTTGTAAACATGATACCTGATGCTTAACTATAAACATGAGCTAAAGCATTGAAAGTTATATTTTCTGCAAAGGTTGTTGTCAGAATACAAAGCTATGCATACACTTGTAGTCTCCATATTTTTTTTTCTAGATCACGCAAAAGGTTTGCGCGTCTTTATATTAAGTTAGAGAAAATATCCGTTATAACACGTCTTAGCGGTGCCCTAGGGGGTCAATAAATATTACATGGACGCTCAGACCCTCTAGTGTAAATCTTGCAGAATATACAATTTAAGCACTTAGGGTTTATTCCTTATTGTTGCTGGTAGTTTTGTGACTTTTATGGCAAGTTTGTCTCGTCGGGTGATAGCGACCAGGAGTAGAATTGGAGAAGTTGCAGGTTCAGTATCCATGAGCTTCGACTTGATCTTTTTCTACTTTACTTAAGGAACCGGTCATCAATTTGTAAACAAACTGGATGTTTAAATTTTTGGCATGGTCTCCGGTTGCATATCTGCCATCGAAAGTTCTTGAAATTTTGCCACTGATGAAGAGAAAACATAAGTTACGTTTAGCATTTTAATCACTTAATTAACGGAGGGTAAAAATGCCATTTTCTTTGATCTTCTTCCTCTCTCCTACCCCGTTTCAGCGTTTCCTCTCTAGCAACTCCACACGCACCAGCCATCAGAGTTGGCCGGTGGATTTTGGGCTCCTGGAGTTCACCAACTATTCTGCACTGGAGTACCTCGATCTCTACGGCAACTCATCACAGGCGAGGTAGAGTCGGCGCGTCTCTCCTTGACTTGCCATGGTCGTAGAACTCACAACCTCGCGGAGGTCATCACCGTCACGTCCATGGTGAGCTCTTCGTTGCACATCCACCGTCGGAACACCTTCTCCTAATTACTGTGATGTCATCAACGTCACGTCCACCGTCGGTACACCATCTAGAATTTTAGCTTAAGGTATGTCGAGCCGAAACTCTAATACATCATTTGGCTAAGTCTAATGAACAAATTCAGTAAACTGTTTTAAAAATTTTCAAGCAATCCTTTGATAATCATCCTAATGCTATCAAAACCAACTAAGCTCATAGAGTGCGTTCATGAGGTCAGTGTTTATATATATATATATATATATATATATGAGCGTCTACGTTTCGCAAAAAAAAAAAGCAAGTAAGCAACAAAAGAAAAAAGAAAGAAAGAAGCTAACAAGGTGCATGGCTCTCCGAATACTTACATGATATGATAAGCTAATACAGTATACAAATAGGCATTAACATGTGCTTTTCAAATAATAGAAGCCTTTTTAAAAGGAGAGCATCTCTGTTTTTATTAAAAGCAAGTGTTTTTACAAGCTACCACTGCTGGGGATACCAGCTAGAGAGTTGTTCAGTAACCAGAGAGAAGAAGGCATATCAAGGTAGACAGGAGCGAGGTTATCAGCTCGTCCTAATCGTGATTAGTTGGGTTTATTAGTGTCCGATCAGCTATGCACAACAATTAGTCTCAATTAGTCAATTTGGTCGGATTGATTGATAACATCTCAAATGAAAGTATCAAGATGCTTAAGAGGGGGGTGAATTGGACCAATTCTAAATTTTTGCAATAATTAAGCCTTACACTTAGCCCACTTCACCTCTTGTGTCTAGAATGTGTTTCTATTATTCTCCCGCACAAAAGTTTTGCACCCTAGGTTCTAATCCTACTCTAACATGACAATTCTAGAAATATAAAGATATGAAATAAATTGCTCAAGTGTAAATGCTTAAAGTAAAGAGGGAAAGGAACACGGCAATGTTTTTCCGAGGTATCAGAGAGTCGCCACTCCCTACTAATCCTCGTTGGAGCACCCGCGCAAGGGTGTAGCTCTCCCTTGATCCACACAAGGATCAAGTGCTCTCTACGGGCTGATTCTTTGACACTCCGTCACGGTGAATCGCCCACAACCACTCACAACTTGACTTGGGTCATCCACAAGCTCCGCCGGATGATCACCAAGCTTCCAATCACCACCGAGCCGTCTAGGTGATGGCGATCACCAAGAGTAACAAGCACAAACTCTCACTTGACTAAGGCAAGCCTAATGAGAAAAGTGGATAAACACTTGCTACTCCCTATGCACTAATGAGGTCCTTAATCTTGGATTATCAAATCTGAATCATCCCACTAGGCTCTTGCTCTCCCTTACACTCCAAAGGTGTTTTTCAGCTGAACAAGTGGGCAAGAGACCTCCCATAAACGAGTGGAGTAAATATTTATACCCCCTCATTCAAAACATAATGTTTGGAGGCTAAGTCAGCATTCTGCAGGTTGACCAGACGCTCCGGTCAGTTGTACCCGCAACTGTGTTAGAGAGAGCCGTTAAGCTCTAACCGGACTCTGACCAGCATCCGATCAGCACCCACCGGACGCGTCCGGTCATCAAAAACCCTCTCTTAAACCTTACTGATGTTGACCGGACGCTGGCACCCATAGTTTGGTCCTTTCACTATTCGGCGTCCAGTCTGGTACCGGATTATGACCAACGTCCGGTCAGCACCCCACCGGACACGTCGGGTCATCAAAAACCCTCTCTAGAACCTTACTGATGTTGACCGGACGCTGGCACCCAGAGTCCGGTCACTTCACTGTTCAACGTCCGGTCAGTACCAGACGACTACAGTTGATCAAATGAACTGACCGGACTCACCCTCCAGCGTCCTGTCACAACCAGACCAGCGTCCGGTCAATCATTTGACCCTCCATTCACTTCCAACTCGAAATCCTATATGAATGAAGTTGACTCCAATTGATCTTAGGGCTATTCCTGAGCTACCTAGTGGTAGGTTTGACAAGTGTGCACCACACCTAACCCACTAGACTTACCTAGGTCAAGCTACTAGTCCATACCCCCCTTAATAGTATGGCCAAAGGAAAAACAAAGTCCTAAACTACTCTAAGTGTCTCTCCAACACCAAACGACACTTAGAACTAGTCCGTTCTTTACCTTATCGTCCATCCTTTGAAAACCGAAATGATTTCCATCGACAAGGCCATGACAACCATGATTGCCCAATCAATTTCTATTACCATGACCTAACTCAAATTGCCTCTGCCAAACACATGTTAGTCATAGTAATCTTATATCGTCATTAATCACTGAAACCCAACTAGGGGCCTAGATGCATTCAATCTCCTCCTTTTTGGTGATTGATGACAACACAACCTTGAGTATGTAAAATAGATGAGTGAGGTTTTCAACATGCTTGGTTCATATAAGCTTTTGACAATAAGAACAAAGGGGTTAGACATGCTTATATGACCCAAGCCAACATGGTGTACTCAAAAGATATGAATTAAGCATGAGTACATGAAGTAAAGCTCATTTGAGTCGGAGTAAAAACGTGGATGCAAAGCAAATGAGCATAACCAAGTGACATGACATATATATATATATATATATATATCAATGTAGAGAGCACACATGTCACATAAGTCTCACCATCACATGTATATAATACAATGCATGAAAGTAAACGTGAATGCATAAAATATCACACATAAAAGACCAAAAGAA